GGAATTAATGTCCCGTTGTGTAACGGTCAGTACGTTTAGACTTGTGATCCAGATGTCGACGGGTTCGATTCGATCTCCCGATGCACCACTTGAGATAAAGTGTGCACCTTAAATCGCCCACTTCTGCCCATCCAGGAGCATAAATGGCTACACAGTTAGTTGATTGGCATGCCTTGTGTGATGGCGTAAAGTGTGGCTACTTCCACCTCTTCCAAGATATGTGCCATTAATCCCCTCTGGGGGATGGGTTCTTGAGAGCTTCCTCTCATGGAGGCCTTGTCACCAGCATCGGTGTTACAAATAACTTGCAAGGCTGCACCTTTGCCATTACCTATTTCACGACCCATGCGATATCCAGAGCGCTGATTCAGACCGAGGGCTCTACCTCCCATAGGACTAAGAGAAAGATTCCCTGTGTAGCCTCCATAGACTGTTGGGAGCAGCAAGAGCTGTTGTTGAGCACCGGTTAGCATGGCACACAAAGCGTGCTGTTAGCAGCACCTTACCCAGCTGCCTCTTGTTTTCCCAGTGCTGGTGTTGACACACCGCAGCGGATATTGTACACAATTAAAGCAGAATTAACCTGCAGAGAGCGCAGGACAGGCTCTGTTACCAGTTTCCACTGATGCCATCCGTGGCCAGGAGTCGAACCCAAGTCGCCAAGTTCATCATCGCTCTGAGCGCGAGTCGCTTGTTCCCGCTACGTTCCACTGCGTACCAGCGCGCGCTCAAGACGGTCAAGCACACGCTGTGTGTGGGAGGGCGTTATATCTGAGTGAGTCATTAATCCCATCCGGCTCATTCCAATATGAGCTCAGCCGTTCCTGTGTTGCTTTGGAATTTTCTTTTACGAGCCCCGACCCATTCGCTTCCTAAAGGTCTCGCTTCTCTGCCCCACAGGCCCAGTCCAGCGCCGTGCAGTATCGAACTGCACCCACGTTATTTGGCCTGTGGTGGCGGCGCACAAGCACAGATACAAAACGAATAATAATTGATCGGTCATCACAATCGTCCAGCAGCACTTGTGGCCTTACGATGAAACAAAAAATGCGTAACGGGTGACGTTTCCAGCAATGGTCCTTCCTCATCGCACATGACTTGAGGGCAGAAAGGTGGAGAGGATAAGGCATGGAGACCGCACGGCATGGAGACTGTTGAGAAGTACTTTTTTTCTCTCAAGTTTTCTCGTGGACAGTTTTTGAATTGGCATATGAATAGCTACTTTTTCGCAGCCGTGGGGTAACGGAAAAACCCTTCGCGCTTAATCAAAGAGTGTCGCTGTACTGTATATACATGTACACACGCACGGCTCAAATCTGTGAGCCCTGTCGATAACCAGTGAATGGTCATTGAGTCAACACGTCTCTTTTGGAAGGGGAGACCTATGGCAAACACATGGAACAACCACTATGGCATCAGTTATAACAATGAATGTTTACATTATTTGCTTGGCGCAGAGGCTCACAGGCTGCCATGAATCCGGTAACCTAAATTTGATTCCCATCCGTAGCTAAGGTCACTAGTCAGAGCCATGTTCTGCTCGAATGAGCATCGAGGCGGTGTAGAATAATCTTAAAGTTCATGTTGAAACGTGATTTTCAATTTTTTTTTAGGTTGAATATGAAATTTGGCAACGCATTTCAAGTGTACACGATTAACATCACGTCACTGAGTGGCGGCGACCTCACCACAGCACTCGTGCCAGGCTAGGTGCACTTTGAGGCCAATTTAAGTGTCGAAGGCTCGCTGACGGGAGGTCACGGACAGATAAAGGTGTTATGGGTTGACCGAAATGACTGACGGATGCACCACCCGTGCTCCCGACTGTGCCAAGGGTTGTGTGTTATTGCCACCCGGTGCTCCGCTCATCGTTGCGAGCATCGCTCCTCTGCCCTCCGTTATTGTTGGAGGCCGACCGCCTCCAACAGCCCAGCAGCGTCCTTCATGAGTCTCCTCCATAGAGGTCGATCTTAACACGCACTAATACGTACAGTACCACAGCATATGGTGTGCCCCCTTTTGTCTGTGACTGACGCTGCTTGCCCAGGGGGCACGTTTGCCCAGCCAGCAGGGGTGCACACACATGGTTTTCAGCAGTCGGGGAATTCGGCTCGCATTTACGACCGAACTTTGACACTTTGATATTTCGGGAGGAGGACATTCCCCGCCCTCGGCTCTTGTTTTTGCCGGCTTTCATGGAGCTCTTGCGCTGTGCGCGGCCAGGGGATATCAGGAGGGGAGGGACGCCTCTGCTCGAATGTTGAAACACGCCCCGCCTCCATTATCGGCAGGCGGATGCTTTAGCGGTGACAGCATGGTGGTGGCAGGCGGTGGGGAGGGGAGCAGGTGGTCGTGGTGGTGCTGGTTGTTGTTGTGGTGGCGGTGGGAGGGTGGGTGGTGTGTTGGATGGCGTTCTGCCAAGACCGCTTTTGTCCACATCTTCACCGTATCCTGGGTTCAGCGATGACACGGCCCATGACCCAAAGAGACATGTGGCAGATTTGCATGCCTGGTGTGGTTGGCACCTAGTATGGGTAAAAAGTAAAGGTGCGGGCCCTGTAACCGCTTGCTCACATCGCTGCTGGCAAATGGGCCTCCACTATAGAAAACTGTAGAGGGTTTTTGGTCTACTCTTCCACGTTGACTAGACAGGAATGATACCCATTTTTATTATTTTTAATCTTCAGCAGAGGGCATCCACACAAAATAATCTGTTGTACTCTACTTCTGTGCCCGCATAGCTGTTGTTCCCTGCCTTCGCCAACTTTCGCTGACCAGCGTGGTGTGAAGTATGCTTAAATAGCCCCATGATCATTATAGCACGAGGGGGGGAGGGCTTTCATCCAGCAGTGGATTGACAAAAAGAAGGCTTTCAAGTATTATTAGCATTCATTTTTTTATTTACAGAAATATACCGACGCAACTACTGTACCTCTTCTTTGCAAAAGAGGTGATGGATGTCAAGGTTTTCAACTTGGGGAAGACACTCCATGAAAAACAAACTGCTTTTATCTTGTAGCCACACAGCCTTGGCTGTTTGAAGATTAGTTAAAATTACAAGGGCGTTTAACCTGTCTTTAAAGATCGTACTCTCGTGACATTACTGAAGTGACATTTTTAATGGTGTTGATGTGCAAGTGGTGGGATTTTAGTTGAGCACTGTGGCTCAAGTGACTCCACAAGCTTTCAATTGACTTAATTTTCACGAGTATACTCTGAAACTCATGTCGGACAGCAGTATAAGGTACTTGTGCTTCGAGTTTTGGCCCTCTATGGATTAGGGATATTGAAGTGTTTGCAGTTGATCGACAAAGTCACATTGGGATTGTGGGCCCAGTCGTCCGTGGACAGTGTCGAAGGCAGTTATAGATTAACGACCAGACCACTCGGTGCGGAACAGTACGGCATCGCATTTAAAACAAGAGACTAAAAGTTACACATATTGCGTGGATTTCTCTTACACTCGCCAGGATGATTTTGTTCTCGGAAGTAGGTCATTGGCAATGAACACATTCCTGCGGAGGGAGCTGGTAGGAACGTTGGGTTGCTCGGTCAATGGCCAGGGTCAACGGCGGCACCACGTGGTGTATTCCGCACAATATGCCCAACTGTGAGGGCGGGCACAAGCCGGCGTGAGTAGGTTAAACGTTGAGTTTTATAAGGGCACCACGGGGTGACCAGCCCCTCCCCACCCAGCCCCTCCCCACCCTCCCCTCCCCACCCAGCCCCTCCCTCCCAACCCAGCCCCTCCCCACCCTCCCCTCTCTACCCAGCCCCACCCCTCCCATTTCTGGATGCACGACAGACGGACGGACACAATAATCCCCTGTGGGCTGGTGGAACCAGGAGGTTCCTACCAGTATAACCTTGTATTATATTTTGAGCCACACAACGAGATGAAGTCGCGTAATGACGTCACCGGGAGAACAATGCGATTGGAGGTGCCTGCTTTTAGCACTGATTTAAATAATTCTCTTGGCGCTGGGTTTTGTTTCAAATTGTGGCCATGTTTGATACATTTTTTGCCAGTTTCGTATCGGGTGAATCTCAAACAGCAACACAACTTTACACCAAAGTTTATTTTTCACATTGGAATTTTTGAGTCATTGCACCAACATGGCACGGACAGACAGACAAAGCGAATTAATTAATGATTTCAAGGCTCTTTGGTTCTTTCGGTAAAGCCACGTAGGTAGAAAAAATAATAGATCACGACGTTTCGATCGCAACACAAGCGACCGTCTTCAGGTGAGAGGGAAAAAGCGACTGAAACAAGGTCTTATGTAGGCTTGAGATGGGTGCAGCCTCAGGGTAATAGGGCGGGGCTAGAGATGGTCTGCCTGAGGCTGTGGAAGCGGCTATTGTCTGCTACCTACGTGACTTTACCGAAAGAACCAAAAAGTATGGATTCCTGCAGTCACGAAAGCTTCAAATCAAGATTAATGATTTCAACCTAAGTTTTAAAAGCGTTAAAACATTTTACAGTACATTCATGTAATCGTTCGGCGATGTATTAAAATACCCGCTCTGGACTTGTCACACAACTCAAGGTGCGAAGCTGCACCTTCACAGCTCTGATTCGTTGTAGGAATGCTGCAAGTTATGAAAAACGGTGGCGTCCAAACGGAGCGATCACGGACCCCGCGTGCGGTGGGCCGGCGCTGTTCAATCGGTGCCGCGGATTTTGACTCCGTTCGTCGGAGTTATGATTTATTACAAACTCACATTTTTTTTAAACGTCAAATAAATGTTGTCGGTCGCACTTTGGAGCCGAGCAGCAGCATTCCGGCATGCCGGTGAGCCGAGGAGCAGCACGGGGGATCGTTTGCGATGACTTGCAGGTGTTTGCTCTCTCAGCTGGGGGGGAACTATGCTTGAGGGCTTTCATTGATCTGTGGAACCTGAGTTCCACAGATATGCCCGTTGCTTGACCCAAGGTAATAAAAACCACCTGTTGTTTGCTTTCAATATGTTTATTTTGGCGTCCCTCTGTCCGGCAGCAGGAGTTGACCGGTTGGCAGGACAGAGGTCAGCATGGCCGGGGCGAAGAACTACGAGGACAAGGATGGGGGGGACGCGTGTGGCACTGTCTGCCTCAAGTATCTGCTCTTCATATTCAACTTCATCTTCTGGGTGAGGGGATGCTCCTGGCCTGCTTGCCCGTTCACTCGTTCACCTGCTCGTTCGCCTGCTCGCCTGCACACTCGCTTACTTTCTCACCCGTTCACTCGCTCAGCAACTCATCTGCTCATTCTGCTACTCGACCACTCACCTTTTCTCCCCCTCACTTGTTCACCTGCGCAACCGCTCACCTGCTCACTCACTTACCCATTCACACGCTCACCCGCTAACCAATAACTTTAGGATTAAACCGAAAGCCTTCTCCTCTGAGCATATGTGCAATCCAGATAATTTGTCTTTTCTGGATTCGACTTTTATTCCTTCCTTTTAGTTTCTCTCACTTGCCTTCCCACCGATATTTTTTCCCCATTTCACACTATACCCACTTCTCTAGAGTTTCCAGTGTCCACATCTCCGCTGTATCTCACTCATCACTTCACACTAAGGTGTTTACGACCCTCTACTTCAATTCCCCTGGCTCTTTCTTATCATCAGCAGCACCGCTTTATTGTCGCCTGCATTTAAATGCCGCATTGCGAACAGGGGCACGTGAGCACAATCATCACATCTAATCCAGCGACGGCATAGACATGTCCTGTGACAAAATCACACAAAGTGGTTTCTGTGCTTGCTTATATCCCCGCAATACTGCTATCTACATTCTACCGCACCTCAGAACGCCGTGCATATTCAATGGGCAATGTATATGTTATGGAGAGAAAGAGGCGGTCAGTCATCGGCAGATGAGAAGAGGAATGTCTCCAGCCTGGACTTGAACAGGGACAGACCCGGCACTACAGATGGCTGGCGATAGAGCGTTCCAGACAATGGTGGCAGCAGAGATGAATGAATGACTTCCCACTGAACGAAGGGTAACTGGAGGATTTGGTTGCTGGAGTGGAGAGTTCGTGGAGGGCAGTAGAGTGAGACGAGAGGGGGGGAGAGGTTAGGAAGTTGTTTCTCTGGAGGCTGGGAGATCGTCGATCGAGGTTTGGCTGCCGGGTTGGTGGCATTAATCGCGAATTCTCACTTAGCAGAGTGGGCAGCATGAAGTTCTGTCATCCTTCCACGTTGGCAGGGTAGTGTGTGGAGGGCGGTAGAGTGAGATGACAGGGTAGAGGTAGGTAGGGGCGAATCCAAGGATGGTCTTGAAGATGGTGAGCGCGACCTTGAAATTGATTCGGTTTTTCGGTTTTATGTGACCGGTCATGCCCTCTCGCCTGTACGCAGCTGGCAGGCTGCGGGGTGATGGCGGTAGGCATCTGGACGCTGGTGGAGAAGGCCGACTACATCAGCCTGCTGGCCTCCAGCACCTTCGCTGCCACCGCTTACATCCTGGTGATCGCCGGGGCTGTCGTCATGGTAACGGGCGCGCTGGGATGCTGCGCCGTCGTCAAGGAGCGTAAGACCTTCCTCCAAGCTGTGAGTTTCTCCGCACGCTAGTGCCACGCTCGTTAATTGGGTCCTCATTCACGGTTCTTAACTCGAACTTTTTCTATTATAATAATAGGGTTTTTCCCCATTTTTCTGGCAACAAAACTGAAACCTTTTTTACAATGATTCATGTCTGCATTAACCACAATACCTGCAGTCAAGATGCCTTTTGGCGTCATCTGGTCGAGCACCAATTGGGTCGAGGCTCAAAAGAAAGCCGTCCCTTGGTGTGGACCAATCAGTTTTAAGGACAATGCATATAATATCATAGTATGTTTTTTGTTTGCATTTTGACTGCAGGTATTGTGGTTAATGCAGACATGAATCCTTGTAATAAAGGTTTCAGTTTTGTTGCCAGAAAAAAGGGGAAAAAACCCTATTATTACATTTTGGTACTGGCAAAGGAGGTCTAATGATGTCGAACTTTTTCATCCACTCGATTAAAAAAAAGGGATTGAAAACCATTCGTCGAGATGTGATAAGCATAATATAATTGTTCGCATAACCAGCTCCCAACATTCAACTTTCACAATTGATATTACATATCAAACCGGTTATTGGAGCGATGGTGCAGTGGTTATAAACCCTGTGACCTGAGTTCGATTCCTGATCACGTTTATCATTAACACGAGGAGCAAGTCATATCTGAACCGGTCCTGCCCCACTCCTCACTTCACCAATTTGCATCGACCAGCATGGTGAAGTATAGCTTCCCGGTACTTGCGCCACCTGAAGTCCGCGGTTGGCATGCACGCCTTCTGGCTGTAGCAAGCGCCAGCCCCACCAGGGGTGAGACACCGCTGATTCACTCTGGCGCCCCGCTTCCTCCATCGCAGCACTCCCTTAAACAGCTGCCCCCCCGGCTCCGCAGCCAGCTAGGCGCATAGCTATGCGTGGATTGTCCGATCACGATATTGCGTATTAAACCAGCGGTTAATGGAGCGGTGGGCCTGAGGGCAGGTGACTGACTCAAGGTCCCTCCATCCCACCCGATCGAATGCTCCACTTAGCTCAGCAGAACCGTGCAAGTGCGACGGAAAGATATGAGACGCTATTTTAGAACACTGGCTGGTCAAAGCTAAACAAAAAATAATGGATTGATAGTTGATGTTTTGGGTTGGGACACGTGTAACGATCTGGCCTAATTCACATCGTTAAGACCCTCCACCACATTTAACAAGGCACCAGTTATTTTTGTTTCAGCTCGTTGGTAAGTTTTGCAATTAGATACATAATTAGATACTAAATGCTCCTGTGTTTTGTTCTGACTCATCCTGCAGATGCTTGGTGTAGTTACAAGCGAAACGTCGCATATCTAATTGCTGTAAAATTTTGGTGTGAGAATTGTTCTCCAACTCACCGGGTGAGCGAGCTGCGACAATAATAATTGGCGCGTTCTTATACCCTTGTGCACATGCCAATTTAATTTGTTTGGCTGCGTCGGGCAGTGGTGAGTCTTAATGACTAAAACATTTGCCCGGATAATTAACGTGATCTGAGCGAAAAAAATCCATTATGAATCATAATACTGACTGCAAAGATCCTTGGTGTTAAGCTCAAGAATCGGATTGTCACATCAAATTGCAACCCCGACATCGTGACAATTCACCAAACCGCTCGGCGGGAGGTTGGATCGCTGTATCCTACAAACCAATGCAGTCTCTCCGTCCTCTCGCATGACAAAGCCGTTGTGACTCGCTTTATGCATATGCTGCGCTTGTGGTAACGCTGGGTGCAGTGACTGGATTATGTAACGGTTTTGCGGTGGGCTTGGTGGATCGCGTAAAAGAATGGAGCCACCCTGTACGTCTGCGAGTGTTTGTGAGCGTCCGCCTGTGTAGCAGTAAGGGGCAGTACAGAAACTCGGTTTCAGACCAGTTAAAATGTTTCTCATACGTGTTTTTTTTATTTTTATGGCTACTGCAGTTTTTTCCCAGATACAAAATATGACATCTACCAAGTTTTAAGATACGAACGAGCATTAGTCTGCCAGTAGTGGGCGATTATTGCTGCAATGTGTAATGCCAATGGGCTATAAGATATACACAACAAACAACCATTCAAAAGCGTAGCCATCCCGAATAATTGTCTCGAGACTTCGGGCAAAGTTTTCTTTATGTAAACAAGCATCATTAAAGCACTGGCCTTCCTACGGCTGTTAAGCAGCACAAGTGGCAAGTTGGTGCTCGTTGAGTTTGAGCTCCGTTGGGAGGTCGCCCGCCGGATCGCTACGCACCATCGCCCTGGCAAACCGGTCGGTTGTGCTTTCTGACAGTTTGCCAGGACCCTCTCTGGAAGCTGATAAAACAATTTTTTTTTTTACCAACAACCTGCATTCTTGCAAGGGAGGGGGTGGTGGTGGTGATAGCAGAGCCAGGGATGGAAGGGAGAGAGGGAGAGTGCTTGGGACGGAGATATGGTTGGTGGTTTAATGTCTTCACCATTGAGAAGTAATCAAGCCCATGACCATGTGTGCTTTGTTTCAATAAGAGTGGGCACAGTAAAACCGGAGTTCGTGCTCAAATTTGAGGTGTTCTAACAAAGCCATGAAAATCCATATTTACTGTAAATCTACTTGCTGGATAAAGGCCTCCCTCCTCCACATGTCACGTCAGACATGGGGGTTACTTGAACATACTTCACCATGCCAGCCTGTGAGTGTTAAGGCTATACAGAGTTATCTTTATCTTTTACCCTGTATGTGTGTGTGTGGCGAGCGGCAGTATAGTGGGTTAGTGCACTGCGCTATGGACCTGGCAGCCTTGAATTTAATTCCCGGCCGTGGCTTACATGAGTGTCGAGTGATATCCGAACTAGTCCTCGGACTCCTGTAAGTCGACTCAGTCTTAAAAATGAGTACCTGGTGTGGTGTGTGATGTCAATCTGGAGGTATCTGCCAAAGCTCATTTGCACTGCAAGGAATTTGATTTAACAGTTTAGCACATAGGCTTTCGCGACCAATATCCAAAAGTAGACGTTTTTTGGGTTAGATCGCGATCTCACCCAAAAAACCTCTACTATGGATAATTTTATTTAACATTTGATAAATATTTTCATTTTTTTAAATTCCGCATGTGATAGCTGTTGTTTCTGATTTAAATTTTACCTTTAGATTTATTTAGCGTTTTTCACTTTGGTGTGGGCCAGTAAACGGAATGAGACTCGTCCTGTCTGCCTTGACTTGTTGGCCGGTCAAATAAAAAAATTAACTCGATCTTTGTCCGTGTCTTCTTGTGTGTGTGTGCAGTACTTCATACTGCTGCTGCTCATCTTTCTGCTGGAGATCATTGCCGGAGTCCTCGCTTACATCTACCACCAGCAGGTGAACATGTCACCCCCATCTGTTCTTGCATCACTTCCCTGGTTGCCGGTTAAACTCCGCATTGAATTCAAGGGCCTTTTCACATTTAAAGGCCCTGAATGATCTCGCACATCTGTACATTGGGGAGTGTTGCTGCTGTGCCCCTACAGCTCCAAAAAGAACTCTGAGGTCGGTGGACTTGGACAAAACTATAAACTATTTCAACTTTTTATTTTACCAGGTAAAGCCCACTCAGCTATACGGCTCTTTTTCAGAAGTGACCTGGCCACAAATGATGGCCCAATGAAGTGGCTTATGTGGAAATTTCGAGCAGCCAAATGCTCTTCACACATGTTTCTAATAGTGGAGGGAAAAATCGGAGGACCCAGAGAAAAATCCATGCTATCACGGGGAGAGAGAGATGCAAACTCTAAATATGCAGGTGTCAGGGTCGCGATCGAACCCACAACGTCCTGTATACCAGACACGCTAATTAACATCTCGCCACCGTGGCACCCTCTGCATCGACAGAACGAAGCACAGGCTCATGGGTGATTAGGCCTTCGCTTCTACGTATGTACGTATGTATGTTAAACTTCTTTGGAACCGTACGTAGCCAAACGTGCTCATGGGAGGTGCGGGGGGAAGGACAACAAACTAAACACAAAAGCAGTTGTAAAGAAATGAGTGGCACCTGGACTGTGAAACTCTCTGCCGAAGGCTGTCAGGGAGTCCAGTTCATATTTTAACTTAGCCACTGCTTACCTAACCTCCGATATCTCTTCATCCTTTTAGTGACACAAGATTATACCTGTGTTTTTATTTTTGCAGGAGTAGATTCATTATTAGACATGACCGGATCCTTCAGTTAATTGATGTAAATCAAATTGTCACGCTCACAATACATGCATGTAATCGCGAGTGTGTGTGCGTGTGAGATAGAATCGGTTGTGTACCATTGCTGGACGCCATACGCAAGGTTTACCTCCGGACAAAAGAAACGAACGCAACCGAACAGACGAATATGAAAGAAAGAATATGAAAGAAAACGAGTTGGACAATACAAACCAGCCGTATTTTTTTTTATATTTTAATCAAATATCGCATCGAATCGCGATAACGAATTGTGGACAAATTCATTGAGTCTCGGTGGAGAGAGGAGGGAGAAGCACTCCTGTCGGTATCGGCGTAGCGGGCAGCACCGATAGCAACGTAGCTTTTCCGAAAACGTTTACCCCCGGCCGCCTCCAGCGAGGCTGAAACGGCGTTGGTTCTCTTTGTCGTTTGTCTCTCCGTCTGTGGTTTCGACGTCGCCGATGTGGCCGTGCGCAGCTGAGCTTGGAGCTTCACCAGCACCTGAACAGCACCATGGTGGAGAACTACCAGCAGGACCAGCAGGAGCGCGTCACGTCCGCCGTGGACAAGCTGCAGCAGGAGGTGAGCGAGCAGCGGGGCGCTCATGCTTCTTCATCATTTTTGGGAAGTCGATCGACAATGTTTATGAGTTCTATATATTTATTTTATTTTATTTTCTCCGGGTAAGGCCTCACTGAGCTACGTAGCTCTTTTTCAGAAGCGGCCTGGCTATCACAAATTATAGCCCAACGAAGTGGCTTATCATCACGTGGAAATTTACAGCAGCCGGTGGACAGCTTCGGGAGTAGCTTTGCAGTGAAAATCTCCAACGCTGCTGGTGAATGATGGAAGAGTGCAGTGGCGGTGCTGTGTGATTCACGGTTTGAGATGTATACTCACGTGGATGCTCATAGATATACATAGAGACCCATAGACTCGCGTAGTCTTACATAGAAACTCATAGACTCGCATAGACTTACACGGAGACCCTTAGACATAAATGGACGCATTTTCTTTCGTTTGATTGGGAGTTGTTCAGCAGTGTTTATACGTCCACGTGGAGAGGTCGTTGTGTGGGCCGGTAAACGGCTTTAGGAGTAGCCCCGTGGTGAAAGTCTGCACTTCTGCCGGCGAATGATCGAAGCGGTCAGTGGCGTTACGATGTTTTCCATCAATTTAGTAAAAGTGGTCGGCAGTGTGTGCGTGCGTACGGATTTCTGTGGTTCGTCACGGCTACACTGTTGAGGGGGGCCGCCTGGCGCGTGATGTCTCCGCACAGGGTTGGGACGCAGATAACAAGTTGCCGCGCTGTCAGTCGCTCCAAAAAATATTTTTACGCGCGACTAATCGGATGTATTTACTCACAACATTAATTAGTGATTCTTTTGTTTTTTTCGTGAGCAAATAAAACATTTCGGCTAAAGAATAAATGAGCAGCGATGATCGCGATATGGCGGTATTCTATAAAAACGGGCGATACAATTAACGGGGGGGACCTCGCATCGGTACAATAACATCGTAGCGTCGCCGTGCTGCGGCATCGCAACCTGCCTCCCTCTCCCCTCCCACAGTTCAAGTGCTGTGGCAGCAAGAACTACCAGGACTGGGCGAGCAGCCGCTACATTCGCTCGGCGGCGAGCAACGACCGCCTCGTGCCGGACTCGTGCTGCAAGACGCGCACGCCCAGCTGCGGCAAGCGCACGCACCCGTCCAACATCTACAACGTGGAGGTGCGCGATGCCGTGGTTCCGCTCGGTCGCACCGCTACGCCGGCCGCTTGCCGCACGCGCCTGTCCACAAGAGGGGTGGTCGTGGTGGTGGTGGTGGTACGGCACGCTCTGGACGAGGCCCCCCCACCCCCTCCTCCACGCCCTGCTGGCTGTGGGAACCGCTTGCCCCCACCGCCTATCCCCCCTGCAGTCTTTAACATCTGTTTGGTTGCATGGTGGTTGGCCACCCGAGCGTTATCCAGGATCGATTATGCCAGTGTACGTGTCTGCGCACATGTGATTTTGTTTATGCGCTCGTGTGGTTGTGTGTGTGTGCACGCGTTCGTGCTGAGCAGGGCGGCTGCATCACCAAGCTGGAGAAGTTCCTGTCTGACCACCTGCTCATCATCGGCGCTGTGGGCATTGGTGTTGCCTGCCTGCAGGTACGGCCAGCAGTCGAGGCTGCTTCACACATCATTAGAACCTGGGGAAGTCCTCGGTCTGTCTTGAGCATTGCGCTCTAGGGCTAGGGCAGACCTAGGCTTGTGACCTTGGCCTTTGTGATTGCCTGCGAGTCTCACTGCCTCTCCTTTATCAGTTACGATGATTAAATGCTGATTGTGCTATCAGCATCATGTCCATGTGGATCTCGCCCTTCGTGTTGGATAATGGCCCACGGAAGCGGATATCACACAGAGCTACCTCTGAGCTCTTTTTAAGTGACTGGGTCTACGCATTAGAGGGCAGCACCTTCCCACCCATATTAAGAGCATTGTTTGTCGAATGGGAGCCATAAATTAAGTGGAGAGCCAAGTTTAATGTGGAGGGTTATGTTATGGAGTCATTGGTGACTCAACTGAGATCGTCAACTCACAGCACTTGAGAATTCGGTTTAATCACAGGCAGCAGCTGCCTGGAGTTGATCATAGTGTCTCGGCAGTACTGGCTCAGCGCTCAGATCCTCGGAGCTACCCGGCCACCTGATAACTGGCTTCCCTTGTAAGGGGTGCCAAGTGGAGGACGATAGGACCCACCAAACAAATTGCTCGGATCTTGTAGATGCACACCTAGGCTGCGGATTTTGGGCCATGTGACGCAGTTTGAAGGTTTATTTATAAGAAAAAAATACTTTTAAAATGATGGTCCGGTGCTCTGCCTTAAAGCTCTGGTAAAGTCACCATGTTGGCAAATGAAACCGTATTGGACCGACGGCGTAATGACATCACTAGGGTGCTATAATGGAGCACGCGGATAATTTTAAAGTCTTTTTCATTATTAAAACCTCACACTCATGTCGCATAAGCCGAGGGCACACTGCCAAGGTACTTATCTGCCAGATGACGTTTGTTGTTATTGGGTTCATGTTTTTCCACTTCATAGGTTAGTGTTAGGTCGTGAGTGAGCAGTGCACCCCACCCCGCGTTCAAGGGCTCGTACTGATCGAGCCGTGAATGGGCGAGCGGTACGGGTAACGTAACTCGTGCGTACTGGTCCGTTTCAGTACGTCCGTAACAAACGATTCGGCATGGGTCTGGTATTGTCGTTCAAAGGTCACGACTAATAAATCCTTAGGAAGCGAGGGCATCCTGAACCCGTTAATTTAAACGACAGATAATTGGTAATGGGGGGACGAGAGAAAAAAACAACCAAGGTAATCGGAATTTATTAAATAAAATTCCGATTTGTTGTTTCGTCTCGGCTGCCGAGTTTTCCCCCGACCAATCTTGTAACTTAGTGGGGAAATGCCGTGGGCCCTGCCTGATGCGTTCACCAAGTTCACTGGCTGCACCGGCAGTGACGGCTTGTTGAGGTTGGGCCTGGTTGAGTGTAATTGTTCTGTTGCTTGGGGTAAACCGCCGTCGGCCTTTTGCCCCCGAGCGTAAAATAATACCGCTCGTTCGTCCTGGCATGAGAATGCTAAATTTTACAATTATATAAAATGGTAACACTTTATTGGAAATCTTTCGGCGTCAACTCCTCGGGAGAAAAGATATTTTCCTTTCATTTTTCCGAAACTGAAACTATCACGTCGCTGGGAAAGAATAAAGAAAACAAACTTCCTGCATACTTTTAATCAAGCGAATGGGGAAGAGATGCAAACTCAATCCTGGGTCTTAATTGGTGTTTTTGGCTTTCAGCTGGAATATTCAATTACATTTAAACAGCGTTTGGGCCGGGGAAAATATATATAAATTATTAGTTTCAATCCACGTGCAGAATTATGCGAAGGAAATTGCGGTCATTAAGTGCTGCCCTGGGTTGAAGTCTCCGCTGGATGTCTGACCCCCGTTTGTGAATCTGGTATCCGATGTTGAATTTGTGACTGAGCGTTGCTGTGTGAAGGGAAGTTGATGCTCCAGTTTTCCCCGGAATAGGGAGCTGTTTTGCGCAGTGCTACGATCAATAAACTCCTGGGTTTAGCCTGCAGTTGAAAGCATTGCTGCTATGTTCCACTGTTAAAATAAAATTGATAATTTACAGCCCTTAGCCGATCCACTACTGGATGAAAGTCTCCTCATTCCAGGCGGTTTGTGAGGGTAGTTTAACCGTGCTGCTCTGTGTGCGGGTTGGTGAAGGGACTATAGAGGTTAGAAATAGTGCATAACAGGGCGTTATAGGCTACGGCGCTACATGGTTGGCAGCATAGATAGAAATAATAAAAATCGAGTTAATATGTGCATCTGGTTAATTGTGTCCTGCCTTCCCCACTCTCCTCCTGTCATCTCTATCTCCGCCGATCCCTCTGACCCACATCTCCCTTCCCACACTGGCTTCCACTCTCCCTCCTCTTCCCCCATGCCATACCCTCTTCCCTGTGTGTTCCCAGGTGCTGGGGATGATATTCACTTGCTGTCTGTACCGCAAGCTCAAGTCGGACCCGTACTAATCAGCGGTTCGTGCATCAGCCCCAACCGCTCCCACCTCCGCATCGCCTGCCGTTTCGTCGCGTAAAACCACACCACTCTCTTGCCGACCGCCTTATTCCACTTCGCTCTCGCCCGGTGCCGATGCCCAGTCAGTCCCCTGCCGTGGCCAAAACCCAGACACGAGCACCTGAGGTTGCAGCCTCTTCGCTTTGTAATCTTTATTCCCTGACGTTCAGTCTCATGGGCCCCAGGTAGCATGGGAGGCGACGGTTCGATCCTCGTTACAGCTGCCCGCTAATTTATTTGGCGAATGTATTACTGAGCCTCTGAGGCTTGATTGGAAACAGCCCCGTAATGTTATTTGCAAGACCAGGCAATTTTGTGTAATGCCTCAAATGTAACACTACATATGTAATCAATCGTACAATGATATATAGTCATATATAATCGGTGATAATGTAGTAAATGAGTTGTAGAGAAATCATGGCCGTTGATAATAATGATTAATGCAATTAATAGTGAGTCTCACTCGACCTCCCCCCTGATTAATTTGATGATCTTAAATACAATTCGATGATTACTCTGACTTTGAAATCATGGGAACGGCTCTGGCCACGACACCACGGTGACAGTGGTCGTCACAGCAGCCGTAACAGCGACGGTGTCAGCACGGACGATGGCCGCGATGATGACGACGATAATGACGATGACGGTGGTCATCTCCCGCAGGGGTTGACACCGACTGCACGAATGATCGGCCTTGCGAGCACGTGCTTAGTCTGATCTCATCCAGCCGTATCTTCCGCACGTTGGTTAACGATGCGTGAATGTTGCTGTCGGCTGTGTTCCTCCAAACGGTACAAATCTCGCCGTGAGAGCGCTCTCCCATCCCAAGCTGCGCAATCTGCTTCGCTCGAAAGTTTGTGCCTGGTGTGTGAGCTCGCTCATCTCCACGCTACGTGCACGCTCATACCGGTGTGCCACCTTTTTGTGCCGTACGTAATTCCCTGTGCCGATTGTCGCCTGCTCACCGCAGGCTGCGTGCTTGTTTATTATTTGTCTCCACTGCGTGCCGCTTATGTCTCCGCTGCGGTTTAATTGCGACGGCGATAATAGGAAGGAAGCTGAAAGTTAATAGCAACACGAGAAACACTACGCGTTCCATCACCTGCTTCGAACAATTGGTCCCTTCTCCAGAATCCGCAATTTTAAAAGCACTCGCGTGATAGACAGCAGGAGCGTCGCCTGCACGCGTCGCAACGAGTCGAGGTGCCGTGCCCGGTTAACGTTTCGTTCGCGTCTACGGGTTTTTAAAAGCCTGCGCGCCGATTGCGTCCTGTTCCGGCCCTCGTCCGTAAATTACCGTGCTTGCCGCTCCTTTGCCAGCGACTTTTAGGTGAAATTAGACCGTGGCGAGACCCCGTGACCTGCCTGCGTGCCGAGGGCAATTCTGGCTTGGCGACGTGTCTGTGCTCGAGGGCTTTTCCCTTCTCTCTCGCACTGCGCTGGCGTTTCACGTCCGACGCCTTGGGATCATCGTGGCCTTGGAGGAGGATTTTTTTGTAACGTTGCCTTACTATGATATGCTTTGTTGTTTTGCTTTACTTGTTTAAATGTGGTGTTTTTATTGTTGTTAGTATTCTCGGAAGAGATGCGAGTTTAAGACGCCCATGCCAGTTTGCCTGATCTCATTGATTTAAGTGCCTTTCTCTGCGTTGTGTAACTTGCCTGACGGGTAGCTGGAATGACGCCTTGGCAATCGCTCCATAGCACCGTGCGTGCGTGTGTGCGTTTGTCTTTGTAGCATCTGTGGGGAGCTGTAGTGCAACGGTTAGCGCGCTGCGCTACGAACCCAGCGACCAGAGGTTCGATCCCCGCTGACGGACAACACCAGTGACGATAATCTGGACCTCCCCTAGGTCGACTCAGCCTCAAATGAGTACCCGGTGCGATGTGAAAACATTGCGACGAGAGAGACGAAGGTGGCCGGGCGTGGTGTTGTCCACCCACCCCCTCCTGTCCCGTGCTGGCCTTCAAAGGCATTCTCTAGAACCAAATTGCCCTAAAAGTCTGTTAAGGCTGTATGGGGGATTTTTTCTGTCTTAGATTTCAGCGCACTGCACCGTGGGCTCGGTGATCTTGGTTCGATACCCGGCCGTGACTAACATTCGTTGCAAGAGGTATCTGAACCTGTCCTGGGCCTCCCCTACGTCAACACGGCATTAAATGAGTACCCGACTGCGGTGTGTTAACATCGGCACGGGAGGGGGGGGGAGTTGAAGGTAGCTGGGTGTGGAACTGGCCGGAACAGTTAAATGTAACTAGTGTTGGTCAAAAACATCCCAATGCTGAAATGTTTTGCTGCAAATCACTCAAATTTGGGATTACACGTGGCAGCATCAACATCACCCCCTTTTGTCAAAACTTAGCAGGACCCTCCTGAAGAAGTCTTGGGACTCTGCGAGGCTTCAAGCGGGCTAAGCAAGTGTACTCTTGTGGCCGTGTCAACCTTAGTAGTTGCTCACTAAGTAAACTACACTCTACGCTCTCCAACACTAAATGGAGTATATTGGTTTTTAGGGTGTGTGTGTTTGAGGTTTTTATTTTATTTCCTATAAAGTGCTTTTACTGTAGTGTTGTAGACAAATTGAATGAGTCGTGCCGGCCTACTGTTACTTAACTTACCACGATCAAAACTTGCCATGAAGGTAGCCTGTCAAAGGCATTATTAAATACCTTATATATACACACGCACACACTGCACATGATATATATATGTACACACTATCCGCTTGTATTTTTTTTTATTACTCGAGTTTTAATGGTCTGAGCAGCAACGTGAGCTTCGTTTTAGACCGGGGGTGATCGAAAAGTCCATGGGAGTGGAATTTAATCTTGATTTGAGGTGTACCAATGTATACATTCATCAATTGAAGCTCACGACAAAAGCGATATTGAAACGAACCCCATGCCGTAATGTTACAGCAGCAAAAAAAATCCCTTCCAGAATCGTATCGCAACGCAACATTATCGCGACGGTTCGTTGAATTGCGTTGTCATGCCCATGAACCGAATTCACTGGACTCACTCAGAGTCACGTTGGGCGGAGACCTCATTCCACTTTGTACGATTAATGTGTCATTATTTTCAGATGCCTTTTTATGTATAAAAAATATAAACGTGGGTAGAAATGGGGGACATTTTTTTAAACACCTGATCTGTTTAATAGTCGATCAGCTCGTAATGCGGTGATATAAAGTGGTGGGTATTCCCACCTTTTCCAAGTCCTACTTGGCCAGCGTGAAGGAGCAGTCGACATACCCTCGACGGGGGCTCTCGGACTCCTTGGAGTCAAAACCCTTCCGCCAGTAGTGGCTCCAGTGAGTAATTGCAGGGTTGTACCTAAACAATTCTATTTAATACAATTTTAAAACACTTCATAATCGAATCATAAAACGGGCCAGGATTTCCCATTGGAAACAAACCCCGTGACGGTTATATGACCGCTGAATTTGCGATCGCTCCTTTTCCCGCCTTGCAGTCATTGCGGTTTTAAACCTTGCGGATAATAAGTACACAGTTGCCCGATGGTCTCACGTGTCAGGACCCATTCACAAAATATTTAGTATGTGCGGTCTGGGTGGATGCAACAAGGACTTGCCCATGAGAGGTTTGGGGGAGTAAGGGAACGGAACTTGCCCCGAGCTCGGCTGTTACGACCCATCAGACGCCAACAGCGGATTCTTGTTGTGCCAAGTTCTTTATTCTTGAAAGTGTTCTGTTGATTTTTTTTTGTTCCAATCGTGCCATCGGCGTCATCACGAGACGAGGAATCCATTCGGAAAGCTCGCATCACAGAGCCGACCCCGTGTGCTGGATAACTGCTGCAGAATTGCTTCAGCCTTCAAGTGGTGGTCGTACTTTCCACACGCTCTGCTATAAAAAGGTCGTGTGAGATTCAAACCGATTATTTTAAAGTCTGACGGTTAGAATTTATCCAAATTAACTCCAAACCAAATTCAATTTGTTGGGTTTAGTTTTTTTACCAGCTTGAGACCATTAACTCCCTACTCACTGGCAGTTGCCCGAATTCGAACCCAGGATGTCAGGAGCGACATCCGGCCCACCTCCCTTGTGCACAGATGTCTTGTTCTCGGAGAAAATCTCACAATTATAATTTTTTCGGTCTACATTGCCTCGGTGCCACTCCATTCCCTGTCTTGATAGTTTGCCTTCCTCCATCTTACACGCTGCTAGATTCCATAGCTATTTCCGTACCTCCGATTAGCACTCTTGGCTGCGTACGGTGCGAAAGAAGTTCAACGTACATACACACACATACATTGCCCTACCGCTTGCCTGGGTTGGACACTCGAAGAAAGTGTGATGGGGTGTATGCCAGGGATCGGTACGGTACTGGGGCTGTCCTTGGAAATCTATTGGCAGGTTAGAAAAAGTGTGGGTACACCCACCTCTTCAAAGACGTCCGGTCAGTGTTGAACGAGTCGGCCAAAATACTCTCCCGATGGGGTCTGGAGCTCCTAAGTTCAGGCCCCTGCCTCCAAAAGTGACGTGGGCTAGTAATTGTCAGGGCTGCACCTTTGCCTTTCATTTTTAAAACCACTATCCTGGGCCAGTCTCACGTTTGGCTGTAGCTTAGGGGCTTGTGCTGCATGATTTATGTATACAATACACATTCTACCTATCGTGACGTGTGTGTGTATATATATACACAGTTATAGCGAGGGCCTTGGGAAAATGCAGAATCATTCGCAGTGGCTGCTCTGAAGGATCTGTTGCTACTAAGTTCAATGCTGCCAGCGCAGCCTTACAAATTAATTGTCTTGTATTTGTTGAAAGTGACAAGTGTTGGATTTGAATGGATCCCCTTTCACTTTAAATTGAGCTCTTTTTAAGGCGACCACTGTTCACTTAAATTGAGGTCCAGTATTGTGCAACATCTACGTAATTACGCCTAAGCTAACTAATCATGTGGCCATGGTGAGGGTTTGGAGATATATACAATTTTCTAAATGTGTTGGATTTTTTTTATGGAGAGACTGCATTGAAAGTTGGTGCAAGTACAGTACAAACAGACTCGCCACCTTCATCATTAGCACCGCTCTGCCGTGAATTATCCACTGCTGGATGGATGCCCTCCCCAAGCTGTTGCCATCTCTCGCCGTGCTGCGATACGACGACTCGGCTATTTCCTGCACAATGAATAAGCAGCACTGCATTGCAGTGTGGAAATAAGAGGCCAAATATTCAGAGCCAAATGGGGACCGCGTATCCTTTGCAAGGGAGACCTTGGATACAGAAGTGATTGGATACAAAAGTGAACGGAAGGATAAAAAGTTGAGCCAAAAAATGTGTACGGTACAACAATTGCACAAGCCCGTTTACTATTTACTATATAGTGTGGCAGTGGTTAGCGCACTGCGTTAAACAAAGCAAATCCGAGTTGGAATCCCAATCACGGATATCGATGGGGACCGATATCTACACCGGTCATGGGTATACCCCCCCGCCCACCCACCTTTCACGAAACTGACTGTCCAGAATGGTGAAGTATGGTCAAACATGCTCTGTCGACACGACGTGGGGAGGCCTCCATCACAGGGCTAATATAATAATGTGCATTCCTTTGTCAATCCACTGCTGGATGAAAGCCTCCCCTTCCCGGTGTCGGTCATGGGTGTAGATTATTTTTTTAAACTTTATATTTTTCAGAGGGCATTGTGAATGATGAAGGTGGTGATTTTGTTTTGGCTAATGCTCTGGAAGTGGCCTCAACAAATCTCTGTTGAGATTCAATCGGCGGCAACGGGTTGTTTTTTTTGCAGCGGCGTTTTATCGCCTTCCCGCGCAGTCGCAAAGCAAATTTCTATTTTCAACGGTCGCCTTCGTAGGGGTTTCATTTTTTTTACGTGCGGGGCTCGTAAAGTTGAGCATGGTTGCGTTGACCATTTGCGCAGCGGACACGGCCGTCAAACGTGAACTGTGGAACCCTCTGCTGGGTTATGCATGCACACGCGCGTAGCACTCTGCACGAGACGAACCATCCTGTCACATGCACGATCCTATATTGCCGAGATAATTTGTGCTTCTATTCACCGATAGACATTGGCTCGTTCGGTTATGATCATGTGTAATGACCGCATGACAATCCTGTTTTACGCGTTCGTGTTCGAAATAAATGAAGTGTAACCACGTTTGTTTTCAGCGCGATTAGGTCCGTGCTGTTGATGTTTGAGCCGGCGTGGATTGTTGTTATTTACTGACGTTCACACGCACAACATCTGCTGTCATTTGCTCCTAATTTACGGGTGACATCACGACGGTGCTTGTGCCAGGTTAAGTGCACTTTGAAGCCATGTGAAATGCCGAGAGCTCTTTGGCAGGTCACCGGGCAGACACAGATGTTATCGGTTAATTCGCCGGAGTGATTGTCAGACGCACCGCTCGCACACACACAACAACAGCAGCAGCCGCCATTCATCGCAAAACCATCGAAACGTGACCGCAGCGCATGTGCCAGGTGAGGTGTTGACCCATAACACCTGGGTCTGCCACGTGATCACCTGACAGCGAGCCTGAGACATCGCACGAGGTTCTCAAAGTGCGCCGAGCCTGACACGTGCACACGCAAGCACACCCACGGATGCATCCAAACGCTCCTTCTGTCTTGATCAATCATCGGCTCTCTTTCCAACACGCGCCATCCACTCCGTCCAGAATCCTGAGATGCGGTTGTATTTCGGCGCAAGAAATCCACATTGCCCATGAGCAAATAACCTGGGATGTGCCCTTTTAGATTTCAGAATCCGAGCAGGTGTCGAACCTGGATTGTGCTTGGATGGGTGACCTCTGCACATTAAATTGTTAAAGGCTGCGGGGCTAT